TCTGAAACTTGGGTTTCAGACCGACACTACGTGAGCAGTCGATTTAGGGCAGCTTAAAGACATTGCCTTGGCAGACATTCTGGTCGGAGCTAGTGCTCAACTGCTGCGGCAACGGGAAGAGCGGCTTAAAACAGCGGATAGAGTACGTTGCAAACAAGCGAAAAAAATGGCCCGGCGGCTTCGACGCTGCTCGCGGCGTCAAAACACTGTTGACGCAGCGAGCGAAACGAACGCTGCCATGCAAGTTAGTGTTCGCCGTATATTTGGAATGTCCAGAGCGCAGCACATGCGACATTGCCAACCCCAACTCGTGTTTTCACGTGTTCTGGATGCAACTCGAGAGAACGAAAGCGAATAATTGTTGAATATTTTTGAAAGCATGTTGCAGTTCGGCAACTATAACTTTTGAACTTAGACAAGACCTTAAACCAGCAATGGATCCTTCCAAATTATATTCAATTGCACTTCGTAAGGAACACTTACTTGTTTCTGGGTAGTTAGCTCATTCGTCAGGGTCGAGAGGAGAAGTGCAGAGATATGATAGAGCAGAGCGGTTGTAAGGTCGGCGAATTTCAACTGGGCTAAAGGCCGATCACGACTGCAGCATGGATGTTTGGGAGTCGGTGTTCACTCGAACGGGCAGAGGCACTGTCTATTTAATTTATGTATAGCCGCATCTTTGAAAGGGCTCGTTTTCCCCAAGTCTGTTCGACACACACATATTCGCTCCCGCAAAGCCGCGCGAAAGCTCTGCCGTCAATCCACAGAAGCCGCTTTTAACTGGAAAAGACGGCGCCAAGGGGATACTAGGGGTAGCGGGCGCCTTTCCTAAAATATGTCCCGCCACCCTAAGTTGAAACGGCATTGCATACAAATAAATGCCTACGGCGTCGGCTTGAGGACCCCGTGTAAGCAGCCTCCAGCCTTTAGAGTGCTCGTACCGTTTATCTTTCTTTTATTAGCTTCCCGCCACGAGAGGTCGTACCGCAGGCAGTATGAAGCCCATTAGAGGAAACATCTCCCCCTTCTGGCGCTCGTCGGCTTCTTTCTGTATACCGCGCTGCGGCGCTGATCCTCAGTGAGGGATGGAGGCGAGGACGAAAGCGGGTTTATGTTTAAGCCAAGGTCGTGGGGAAGTCCGGAGCGTCTTCAGGAGAAGCTCAGACTCAGACTACACTGTACTTAGAGCATTTGCTTCCTCTCTCAGTTCAGAAGAAAAGCAATTGGTCTCCTGGTTGTTCAAGCTGTATCCCCCCCCCCCCCCCCTAGAACGTCTCCTCCCGGTACGTCCCCTCCGCACTTTCCTTGGCAATGAGCACACCGTGCCAGTAAGATACCTTTAGTGAGCCCGTGGGCGACAGCATCTCAAAGCAAGCCAAAAAAGACATGCCGAAAGACAAGCCCAGAACCACGGAGAAACCATCAAACGAAAAGTGATGAAAAGGCGGCCGCTAGAGAGGAAGGATAATCCGCTACCCTTGAGTAAGGCTGCTTGACGTCTGCGTTTGGGAGCTTTCAGGGCACAAATGTTTCGCAGACAACCCCCAAAGAGAGAGAGGGAGACAGACAGAGAGAGAGAGAGAGAGAGAAAGGGGACTAGATATGTTGAAGGTATTTTCCTGCCGTGCTCGACGTGCTGGCCTTGTTTGGAAGTGTGCCTGCAGTCGAGGACCCTGATATTTGGTGCGCCTCCCCACTGTCTCTCCACATCGAAACTCCTGGCGCCGTCCCTGTCGGGAAGACGTACCGTGACCTTGACGGAGATAAACCCGACTTTGGAAGCACCCAGAAGGCGCGTCCACCCACCGCTGTTTTAATCTTTTGTTTCTCGCGTCGATTGCTTACGTTTTTTCTTCGAGCTGACGAAGAACCCCGGGGGGGGGGGGGGGTTTGCCTGGTGAGGCGTTTGGGGGGGGGGGGGGGGGGCGATCGCCCCCACCGCCCCTCTCCCCCCTTGGATCCGCTACTGCTCGTGGATTGCTTCATCAAGCTACCCCTTCCATCGCTTGCCACCCTGTGACTTTGTCGTCACACTCGTTTCGGTTGCATGCGAACGCAACCAACGCAGATGTGTGAACCAGCCTTTAACACTTTTACTGCCGGGTTTTTGTTTTTCCACAATGCCCGGCGTAAACGAACTTTCAGAGACCTCGAGCTCACTGGACGCCGCTGTGATGCCATGGCAGATTCTTGAAGATGATGGGTCCAAACTGTGCTCTTAAAAGTTGCATTCTTTCCTCTTCCAGCAGAAATTCCGCTCGTCCAGTTTTCTCTTCTTCTTCTGATTCTTCGGCGGAAGGGTCGTCGCTGGACAAGTCACTTAGCTGAGCTGCATCATCGTTATCACTTTATTTATTCATTTTAATTAACAATGATATCAATCATTGACAGGAATACAATAGGAAAGGCACAAATCAACACAAAATGAACAGTAATAAGACAACGCGGTCACGTTCCAATACAACGCTATGATAAGAAATACAGATTAGAATCGACATCAAGGCAAGGCAAGGGTAAAATCGCTTGTGTGCGAAAGGTCAGTCTCGATGAAGTAGTAATAGTTAAGGCCGGTTCACACATGCAGCGGAGCGCTACAAGCATAGCGCTCACCTCGCGCTAAGCGCGTGCTGACGGCAGCGTTCACCAGCTTTGTATTGCACCGCCAAAACTGTTGCTCATGGCAGACGATAAGTAGCAAACGGCACGTGAGGAGCGCTACATCAGCGCTTCGCTGCATGTGAGAACCGGCCTTTACAGTGCTGTTCCAAGTACAAAACAAGCTATTTATACACAAGGTGCAAGTTGGTTTAAAAACAAAGAATTATTTTCACACTCAACGACATGCCTGGGTAGCTTGTTCCACTCCGATGTTGTTCGTGGAAAAAAAGAGTGTTTAAAGAAATCAATTCGAGACCAATGTTCAATAATTTTTTTCGAGTGCATAAATCTGGCATTTGTTCTAGTCGCAAAAGTTACGTATTTGTCCCGTGGAATTTTAATGGAGTGGTTGATGATTTGGAAGGCTATTTTTCTTTTAGTTTGCAAGTGTATTAAATCAGTTTTACAGATTATCTTTGATTAGCTTTGAAGGGGATTGGTTACGTCCAAATTCGTTAAACACAAACCTAAGTGCCCTTCTCGGAACCATTTCTAATATGTTTATGTTTTTGTGTAAATGAATATGGTCAATGTTTTTTGTGTAAACGGGTTCCGTACAACGCTCGCTTATTCAAGAATGGTGCGAATTAATACCTTATAAGCGAGCAGTTTAGTGGTATACGGAGCATCTTTCAAGATTCGTTTAAAATGCCACAATTTGTTGTTTGCTCTGCTTACTATGTAATCGATGTGGTTGTCCCATTTAAGTTCGGAAGAGAAAATAAGTCATATTGAGCTACGCTGCTAAGCTTGTGTCCGGACAACTCATAGTCAAACACAAGTGGGGATTTTTTACGCGAAATCGTCATGCTTACAGATTTCTTTTCATTTAATGCCATTTGCCAATCCTTGCACTCGTTATATATTGTTTTCCAACTTATTATTTAAGTTTATTCGACCATTACGTGTTTGCACTGCAGAGTACAGTACGCAATCATCTGCGAACATTTTTATGCGAACATCGATAGTTCTCACGATATCATTAATAAATATTAAGGACAACACAGGTGCCAGAAATATGCCCTGGAACACTCCTGAGGTTACTGGTGATACGCTAGAGACGTTATTGTTCAATGTAACATACTGCCTTCTACCCTTAAAGGCCGACGTACATTTCGCGCTTTCCACTTAGCCCGCCTCCTCCTTTCCCATGACCTCTCCACTTTTTACCTTCCGCAACTTGGCTCCCCTCGCTGCAGCTTAGGAGAGGGGGGCGCTAAGAAGATTACCTTCCCTTCAGAACCAAGGTTGTACGTTAACTCTAAGGTAATTCTCGAACAATTTGAAAAAAGGAGTCTGATTTAAGAATCGTGTGTAATTTAGCTATAAGTTTGTCGTGGGAAACCTTATTGAGAGCTTTTTCTAAGTAGAAAAATGACATGTGCCTGAGAACGGTTATTTAAACATTCGCTAAATTCGTGATTAGTTTTCAGAAGTTGAGTTACAGTTGAAAGTCCTCTCCTAAAACCATGCTGTTCTTTAGTTAGTATAGTGTGAACCTCTTGATGGTTAGTGATGTGCGAGCATATGACGTGTTCTAGCATCTTACAGCATTGGGAAGTCTTTGATATTAAGGTCGATAGTTTGTGACGTTTCTTTCCTTTCCGGATTTTAGGATGGGAACTATTTTTGAAACTTTATTATTATCAGGAAGGGAAGCGGTAGACAAGGATTTTTGGAAGATTACTTGCAGGTATTTAGAAATCCATTCAGCATATCGCTTCAAAAATGCAGTAGAAATTAAATCTGGACCGGGATTTTTTTTTTTAAATTTATCGTCAAGGTTAAGCAATAAGGACAAAATACCTTCTTGAAATATGTGCCATTCATCGACTGCTAGTATATCATCTAATTTTCAACAAATGGTACATAATGGTTATCAGTGGTGAACACAGAACCGAAATTACTAATTAAGCCTTCAGAAATTACGGACGCTTCTTCTGTTAAAGTACGTTTTATTAGGAAACTGTTTGCTATCGTTTGCTTCGATCGAAAGTGGCTCGACAATATTCCTGGCAAGGGTACCTAAACGTTTGGAAGTGTAATGATGAAGTACCGTGCCTTTCATCTGAGTCTGAATTCATCGACAGTTTCTGAATTTCCTCGTCCGTCAAAGCGCGGACTTCCGTGGCACTCGCCACGCCTGCGGTGCCCTGCGAAGACGACGACGAAGCGCGGATGTAGAAACGTGCGCTCCATCTGTTGTCTAAAATTTAACCTACAAGTTACATGTGTCTACGTGATCTCTCCATAGATGGCGCGACACGACCGCATTAATTTTTTTTTTTTTTTTTTTTTTTTTTGCACGAGTAGTTTAGGTTGGCGGCAGGGAGTGAAGTTTC